TAACTGGAGCCCTCAGAAAATTGATTTCAACATACATATAGACGGACGGACGGTCGAGTTAACAGACGGACATAGCTAAATCGAGTTTGATATCTTTAACGATTCAGAATATATATAATATATAGAACCAGGTTCCTTTTGCACCTAAGGTGTCAAATTTTTCTTAAATTTATCTTTTTTCATAGATATAACAAATACATAAATTTAATGAAATCTTTCATTGGCAAATTTTTCAAAATATATTATGATTTGTTTTGTGCATAGGCTTCAATAATATTTGAAGGGCAGATCTAATTTACATATGTAAATAAGATACTTACAACTACTAACATACATATTTCAAATTTGTTATACTTCAAAATATTTAATTGAACATTTGTCACACTGTACACTTGTCCCCATCCTCAAGCGATCAATGAGTTTAAAACGCCCCAACAAACTAAAAATACCCCTACAATTCATAATGAAATCAATGGGAAAAATACATATAGAGGAAACAAAAACAGGTGAAAAATTATTTTTCATAGTAAACTGGCAAATACACGCACCTACATACTAACTGGTACATTCAAATGTATAAAAAGTAATAGAAAAAAATTAAAAACTATATTCTAATCGTGAGTATCTGGCTTTCTGACTGTTTGTCTGTCTGTCTGTCGGTCCGCCCGCCAGTCTCTATCTGTCTAGATTTTTGTTGTTTCGTATATTTTGACTCATTGTGTGAGTAACATTTGTATGGTGTAACTCTATTCATTGTTTGGTATTGGTTACGGCTCAACGACATGCAATGTCGTGTCTATAGTTATCGATGATGGAATCGACTTTGTACCAATTTCCCAACACGTTATCAATTTTGCCGTATTCCTCTATGAATTCAAATATGTGAATGAAAGTGTATATCTTTAGATATTTGTATGTATGTAAATAAATAAATAATATTTGAAAATTATTTTCTATTTTTTTATTGCATGTAAAGTACAGACATATAGTAGTCAGCTAGTCAGATATCGATGTATGTGAACATATTCCATACAAAACTCTAAAAATTAAAACTTTTACTATAAATTATTATTATTTATCAAAAAAAAATATTCCTAAATGGAAATTTTAATATTTAGAAAATAGACATTACTGCACTAAATTACTATCTAGTAATGACAATAAAGTACTTCTTATAAATAACAAATAGGTAATGTTTATTATTTTAGAGAGTTTTAATAATTACCGATTCTTATCAACTAAAAACTTCACACCAGTTTGTCAGTCCGGTCCGTAATTAAATTTTTATGATATTATCACATAATATTTTTTTTTACAAGTTTTGCTTTTTTTTTAATATTAATAGAGATCGTCTGCTGTATAAAATATATAAAAAGTCTTGCTTTATCCAGTCAGTAGGGATTTCATAGAGATCGCTCTAAGAGAGATATACTAGACAAAATTTGAAAAAAGTCAAATATATTTTTCTAAAGACAATAAACTTTTCTAAAGGCTTAAGCTACACTGAATCCGAATCTGATCTTAGCATTTCCCTATTGCAGTCAACCACAACTTGATAACAATCTTTGAATGCTGCAGTTTCTGGGCATAAAAATACAGTACGAAGTCAGCTGGACTAAACAAATCTGTTTTTTTTTTTTTTTTTTTTTTTTGTAAATACTAAAGACATATTTACCCCATCTGATCTAATTTAGATCTTCATCATGTATTTATGTTAGATCGAGACACAAAAAATGGTGCTTGAGTCACACCCCTCAAAATATTCGCTGTTGTGTAATATGATATTACCCATAGGCCAGAATATAGTCTAGTCTACAGACTCTAGTCTATAGGTCAGTCGACAGTCTAGTCTATAGGCCAGACTATCGCATAGTCTATAGACCAGACAATAGTTTAGTCTATACGCCAAACTATAGTTTAGTCTATACGCCAGATAGGCCAGACTATAGTCTACTCTATGGGACAGACCATATTCTTCTCTATAAGCCAGACTATAGTCTTGTTCATAGGCCTGAATATAGTCTAGTCTATAGGCCAGACTCCAGTCTATAGGTCAGACTATAGTTTAGTCTATAGGTCAGACTATAGTCTAGTCTATAGGTCAGACTATAGTCTAGTCTATAGGCCAGACTATAATATAGTGTAAAAAAGGCCAGACTATAAATATAGTCTAATCTACAGGCCAAACTCTAGTCTATAGGTCAGACTATAGTCTAGGCTATAGGCCAGACAATAGTTTAGTCTATACGCCAAACTATAGTTTAGTTTATACGCCAGATAGGCCAGACTATAGTCTACTCCATGGGACAGACCATAGTCTGCTCTATAAGCCAGAATATAGTCTAGTCTATAGGTCAGACTATAGTCTAGTTTATAGGTCAGACTATAGTCTAGTTTATAGGTCAGACTATAGTCTAGTCTATAGGTCAGACTATATTCTAGTCTATAGGTCAGACTATATTCTAGTCTATAGGCCAGACTATTGTCTAGTCTATAGGCCAGACTATGTTCTGGCCTATAGGCCAGACTATTGTCTAGTCTAAAGGCAGACTATTGTCTAGTCTATAGGTCAGACTATATTCTAGTCTATAGGTCAGACTACTGTCTAGTATATAGGCCAGACTATAGTCTAGTCTATAGGCCAGACTATAGTCTAGTCTGTAGGCCAGACTATAGTCTAGTCTATAGGACAGTTTGTAATCCAAACAACAATAGTACACACTATTGTCTGATTAAAGTCCGAACTTTAGACTACAGTCTGATATAGAGTTCAGACATTAGTTAAACTATGTATATCCGATAGAAGATGGAATACAACTCTATATATGGGCTGGAGCTGGATATAACAATGGAATGGGTTCCGCTTATATATACCCATATATTTTTTACGCAAAATGCGTTGTTCAACTAAAACACAAATATTAAAAATTGTAGTTGTTAAATTTGTTCATCAGTCCAAGTATTCCATGCCACTTTCGATGTAAGAAAATTGATGTCAAATGTCCTCAAACACTTATCTCTCCATCCTCTCTCCCACAACCTATTTTCCTAGTGTTAACACAAAGTACTGGTCCTCTGATTAATGGGCCCATAATAAAAAAGGTATAAAACGCATTTACATTAGAGTGTCTTAAGGAACGGCCTTTTTAAGAATCTCATGTAGGAATACCTCATAAATTTCAAGTGAATTTCGGAAAGGTGACCTATAAAGCCTATCCTCTTAATATTTGTCAAATTGATTTTAGTTTCTATAAAACATTTTTATGTCAATTTGTGGATATACTGGAATTTTGATGCAATTTATTAATTTTAAAGTAATTTTCTGAGCGGAACCTTGTATGGGAAGTAGGGTCAATTGTCGGCCGATCTCCACAAAATTTGGCAGACAGATTTTAGTTAATCGAAAGCTTGTTTACGTCCAAATCCGTTGCTTTACTATCATGTTGCAGCAAGTTATATGCGTTATAGTCATTTTCTGAAGGTACCTTATATTGGGGTTACGGTAAATCTCCATAAAATTTGGCAGAGATATTTTAGTTCCCCGAAAACTTCTTTATGTCGATTTTCTTTGCTTTCCTATAATTTTCAAGCCAGTTATAGTCGTTTTCAGAGAGGAACCCTGTATGGGAAGTAGGGTCAAGTATCGGCCGATCTCCATTAAATTTGGTAGGGAGATTTTGGTTTATATAAAACTTGTTTATATTGAATTTTATTGACATACTAATGTTTTTAAACTAGCTGTTTACACTGCTTTTTGGGAGCTATGCAAAATTTGAGTTCCTTAGATTTTCCCGGACCCTATTCGGACGGATATAGCTGCATTGTCTTAGAATTTAATAAGGTCTATGACTAATATTTCGATGTGTTACAAACGGAATGACAAAAAACAATATTCCTCCTCCATCTTTTTTGATGGTGGTTATAAAAATATTATTTTTGAAAGGGGCATCAGTTTAGTACTGAGCTGATTACGGGAAAAATAACGCGGGCTGACAAAATTTGAAAAAATGAAAACCTTGAGATTCGATATATTGTGTCCTGAAGTTTGATAAATCGCAATTTTTGGCCCTTTTTAAGTTGTTGTAACAGCGCCAAGATAACTTAATTTGTAAAATCTTTTGTATATCAACTGAAAATCCATTCTGTCAGCTTTAAAATAAAGTCTTAACATTCGAACATATGTTCTTTTTTCTTCTTGTCTGGGCGCTGCTATAACGTCTCAAAAATACTGTAACAATTTTTGTTACAGTATTTTACGAATTGTTTGGCATTTGATTTGGTCCTTTTCAAATTATTTTAGAATTTATATGAACTCTATAATGCACTAAATGTAGTTTTGCGTCCAGGAAGAGTCTACTAAAAAATTTTAATATTTTTGTCGCGATAAGATCAAAATTACGGAATTTTTCATACCAATTTCGGAAATATTGAAAAGTAATTTTAACATATCTCAAAACTGTACACCCTAATATACAGACATACGTGTGAAGTAGATTAAGAACACAATCTTCTTCTATGGTCAAAGGATTTAGAATTGAAATAATTATTGATTTTAGTATGATAATTATTTTTTGAATTGTTTAGCATATAATTGATATTTAGTCATATTTTAAGCAACTAGTGAAACATTTTTTTTTTTCCTTCAAAACTTTTTCTAATCCCAATATAATCTCTTCTCAAATTTGAAAAAACACATCATCTTTACAGAGAAACTAAACTTCTAAATAATTGAAATTAAAGAAAGAAAAACTAAAAATTTAAAACATATTTAGAACCTCTCACTGAGCACATTTTATTTTAATGCACTTTAGTTTTTTCACCTCCAACCACTACCACCACCACCACCACTACTACCGTCAATCACCATTTATTGAGAGTTAATTTCTTAATTTTTATGTTAAACAATTTACATAAATGCCAAAATGTATTTAAATTAAAATATAATTCTGTTTAACTAAGTCTCTCTATCTATCTCTCTCTATTTCTTTTTGCATTTGCAGATGCTACATACACACTCACCTCCTAATCCAAAAGAATAGTTGAGTGTGTGTAAATCGAATCATTTCGAAATTGCCAGTGTTCGGTGGTCAATAGAAGAAATTCAAATTGAAATTAAACCGCGGCTTTACCGCGGCATATTATGTCACGAGACGATTACAATCCTGTAACAAGCTCTGGTGTTCGTAGCCCGGGTCGTAACAGACGACTTACGGAATTGCCAACAGTTGATCGTTCACCATCACGGGATTACGGTACACGTGGAAGTCCTTTAGGTGAATGAATATAATTTTCTTAATGTTGATGTATTTATTATATTTTGCTTAAAGTAACCAAGAAAAATGATTAAAAAAAATAATATTTAAACTACCAAATGCAATTATAGTTTAGCTATTGAATGATTTTTTCGAAAACAAAATGATTCAATGATATAACTTTAGGTTTAGTTTTAAGTATTATGTCTGTTATCGTGCAGATTGTATATATTAAATATATTTTAAATGATTTATTTGAATATATCAATGATATATACTAATGATGACGATGCACCACATTTATTAAGACAATTATTAGAAAATTTGGCTTTGAATTGGATTGAATAAAACGCTATTTTTTTATTTACTTATTTTATATATATTTTTTTAATTTGTTGTAGTTATATTATGAAATATTTAAATTGCAGCAAAGATGGTAAAACAGAAACATTTTCGAATATTTGCAATTATTATAAAGAAGAAAAGTTATTCTCAAGGCCCCGAGAGATCTTTGTGTCAAATGATTTCTCAATAAACTACTTAAGTTCAAATAGCTATAGCAAGATCTGTATTGTTTTAGTAACCCTCTAAACTTTTCCATAGAAAAGTTTTTGTACAAAGCTTCCAGATTTGTTCGTAGAAAAGTTTATACAGAAAGTCTCTACACTTGGATCTACTCAAGCTCAAATGTCTTAAAGTCGTCTGTTTTTAAATTTATTTGTAAAAAAAATGATTTCAAATTTACTTTGTGTCCTGGTCAATTAAAAACGGAACAAATTGAGTAGCATTGGTTCAATGACTTGTAACAGAATGTCCAAAACGCGTCAATCCCAGAGGTCACAATTTTAAGCATAAACTAACTGTTATACCGAAAGAATAAGACTCTGCACTAGTTCTGTAAATGGTTCCCTTCTCTCTACGCTAATTATATAGAAAAGTAGCTATAGCAACAACTGTAGTGTCTGTAGTGTCTAATGAAATAATTGCGATAATGTCAGCCTGTAGGGTACTACATGACCTCAATATTCGCAGCAACATAGGACTGTATATTACCACGAGTATAGCTTTACTTGTGTCCTATTAGGTCCCTTTGTAACGTTTGGAAAGAAACAAGATTTGGAAAGAAACAAGAAAAATAGCGATAGAGATAATAAAGATAATATTAAAAGAGTAAAGAATAAAGATGATAACGAGCCTATAGAGAAGTAGAGAACGTAGTGTGTGATTAATTACACACTGATTTCGACAATTTTAGGAATACGTTCAGGTTCAACAGTTGGCAGATCTGATAGATAAGAAAAGTATGTCGACCCTATTGCCTGATAACGGATCGATTCAAGGGCCGGGCAATTACACAGAAGATGAGTATTTGTTTCCTCCTCTTCCTCATTTTGACAGCTCCTACAAAAGTCATTGTATGGAAGACCAATGCGTCTTGCATGGTTTCCGAACTTGGAATGACCAGTAAGAATTGAAACAAAGCGTTCAGATGAATTCTGCTTAGCCCTAATATATAGGATGTTTTATGAGGATCCATATAAGGCCATAGCATAGAGAAATGCACAAGACACCTTTTGAACCTAAGTAGGCGGGATATATCGAGATTGATAGCTGTAATAACAGGTGCTAGGCAGCCTTCAAGTCGGGTCGGGCAACCTTTTTAATGAACACTATTGCAGTTGCAATGACAGGGAAAAGGAAGAAACGGTCCTCCATCATCACTGCAAATGCCCTACTCTAGCCGTTAAGATAAACCGTTTTCTTGACAGTTACTTCATATCAAACCATGATGAGATATCTGGGTCTAAGCTTAATGATATCCCGAGTCTGGATCTAGTACTATAGAATACTACATCTAACGAGTGGATTGGTCCTATCAAAACGAAGTCTCTTCGACTCTACTTGACTCTTCGCGCGCAGTGAACAAAGTCTATAGCCATTTATATAGAAAATTTTCTCTAGACATTTTCATCGAAAAGTTTTTATAGAAAGTCTTCAGACTTTTCCTTAGAACAATTTATATAAAAAGTTTCCAGACTTTTCCGTAGAAAAGTTTTTACAGAAAGTCTCTAGACTATCTGACTTAAGATTTTTTTTATAGAAAACTTGCTATAAAAAGTTTTTAGACTTTTTTAAACTCTTCCTTTTTATAAAAAACTTAAGACATTTTTATAAAAAAGTTTTATAGTATTTTATATAGAAAATTTTCTTTTCTAGTTGCTATAGAAAACTTTCTAAAGAAGGTTTTCAGCCCTTCCTCTAAAAACGTTTAAGACTTAAGACTTTTAGACCTTTCTGAAGAAAATTCTATATAGAAAGACTCTAGACATTCTAATTTTAAATTTTTCTATAACAAAAAACCTTTCTGTAGAAGATTTTTAGACTTTTCTCTACAAACTCTTTTTAGAATGTTCGTAAAAAAGTTTATACAGAAGTCTCCAGATTTTCTGATTAAGTTTTTCTGATTTTTCTATATAAAACTTTCTGAAGAAGGTTTTCAACCCTTTGTTCAAAAACTTTTTAGACTTAAGACTTTTATATGGAATGTCTTTCGTCCGATGTTCAGAAACTCAGTTTCAGTTTCGAGTTAATCTTTAACCCTGAGATGTTCACCTCGAGATAAGTTGGTTAAGTCATGAAGAAAGTGGATACCTAGCGTCTCAAACCCATATCCCCCCAGGGCCGGTAGTAACAAATATATTCTTTATTCTCTTCGCCCTAACTGAAGTCGTTTCTTGCAAGAATTATTTTTCTGACATGAAGCCAAAAGATTACACAAAGTAATTACAATTACTTGTATGTAATGTGTAATTGAGAAATAACCAATTACAATTACTTGTAATTGTAATTTAGGTATCACTAATGACAAATTACATGATAATTAAAAGGAACAAAATTCACAATTGCAAGTAATTGGAAATTCTTCAGTTACGAATTACAAGTAATTGTGATTTGCAAAACTTAAATTACAATTATAAATAATAAAAATTGGCAAAACTTCACTTACTATTAAAAGTAATTGTAATTAGTAATGCTTCAATTCCAGTTACTTCAAATGTAATTTGAACAATAACCAATTACAATTACTTGTAATTATAATTTAGGTATCATAAATTAAAAATTACATTTAATTAATTGGAAATCTTTAAATTAGAAATTACAAGTAATTGTACTTGGCAAAACTTCAACTACAATTAAAAGTAATTGTAATTGGTAAACCTTCAATTCCATTTACTTCAAATGTACCTAATTGTAATTGAAAATGTAATCATTATCCCCCAAGATTGTATGGCGGCCACATAATTCTCGCCATTACGCTGGTAGCATATCGAACATTTGTCACTGGACAGCTCAACGCCGACAAAGTCTCTTCATATGCAAGTGATTTTTGAATCCTAACTCTAGATAGGTTTCAAATTTGATATTTTCTAAATTTAAAATTAAAAAATTCAAAAAGTTTCATTTAAAATTTTTTAGTTGACTGAAAATGTAACCAAATTTGGAATATTATTTATATTATTTTCCCTATATTCCCTTTTAAAGAACATCATTGTTGCCTCAACGTCCCAGTTGACTGGCTGCCGCGCATTTAACTTTAGTGGCTCATTTACTTGCTCACAATCTTTGTGGCCTGCTGTGTTCTGACTCCATAAAAAAATTTAAATTTATTTGTCTCCATCAGCCATTCTAACAGCATTATGACAAACTAAATAAAATTGATATTTTTTTAAATCTTTGAGTATATAAAAATATGAAAAAATATTAACGTTTGCAGTTGTTTTAGCAACTGTAGCCAACAGTTGCTGCCATTAGTTTTTAGTAAAGCGTTAGAAAATATATTCATGAGAATGTAGTTTAGAATTTTCTTTAAAATGTTTAAAGTGTCAGCAGGGGCGAAAAGAATAGCTAAAATATTTGGCAGAAAAAGTAAAATAAATGATTAAATTGCATGTGCTTTTAGCACATTCGTTTGGGGAAGACAAATATAATTATTACGATTCCTTACTTATGTACAGAATAGTTATCTTATTTATGACTTCAGCGCTCTTGGATAGAGTCTCCAATAAGAATGTAAGTCTGCGAATGTACATATGTATTTCCTACATTTAATATAAAGCTTTAAACCTTAAAGTTCCAAGAACCAAATGTTTCTAATGGTTCGCTTATCACAGTACTAGAGAGTGATTAAATTTTTCTCAAAATATTCTCAATTGCTTAATGAAAAAATTCGCTCAACTATAAAAATGCACAAAAATAATTTGGTTCATATTCATGTTTTAGGATTCTCATATTGTATAACGAAACAATTGAAAGCCAAGAGAAATTGTTCGATAAAAAAATTTCTTGCAAATATTCGTAAATAATTTAAAAAATTTTTAATTTATAAAAATATTTAAAAAATACCAATCTTTGCTATGTAAATATAAAATATTTTGTATTGTAAATTATACATAAATGAAAAAGAGTTAATTTTTATGATGAATATTCAATTACAAAGAAAAGAGTTCATTTGCAATTGTTTATTAATACTTAATGTATATTTAAAGATGATCGAGCTATATCGTAGTACCCCCACGATTTATTAAGTACTACTTTCTATTACAAACTTTCATAAGTAGTTCATACTTTAGTCAATGGATTGCTCTATAAACTTGTTTATAGACTAGTATGAAGATATGTTCACAGTCTAGTCTACGGATTAGTCCATAGAATCTTCAATCCATAGTATAGTCCAGGGAATAGTATACTAGGACATCTAGCCAATAGACTATAATAGACAAACCAATAGATTAGTCCATATAACACCGTGCAACAGTCATTTTCACACTTGAAAAAATCTATGTGTATATGGTAACTGTGGACAATTAGTATTAACTTTGTGTACTCAGTTTTTCAAAATCAGCTCTTAAGCCTCTGTAAAGGACCTTAATATTTAAAGGACATACGATTTCAAAAGATGGAATTCCAATCTTATATAAAAATATGGTATAAATATCAAATGAAGCTGAGAACCTCTTCTT